CTTTCCACCAACTGTGCTACTAACCACATTTCAAAACATGTTACTGCTTAAACAGCAGTCAGGCAGCTTTTCATCCTACCCTTTAAAGCATTTGGTAACTTTCGCCACTTGGTTTTCTTGCTACTTTGAATCCAATAGTCAAAAACTTCTGAACGAGAATCTAAACCACCACAGGGGTTTACTGAATTGGATTCTAAAAAATGGCTTTAAAATTGGACTGTAAGACAACAGCATTATCTTGGAAAAGCATAAGCAATAGAAATATTAATCCAAAGAAAGGTAGACTACCTCTAGAAAAAGAGTTTTTCAAACATAACCATCACAGCCGAATAGGAATATACCAAGAGTCTGAAGTATCCTACACGTCCATAACCTAAATTGATCAGATGTAGATGATGGGATACAATAATAGAAACCATAGTTGCCTTTGTTAGCAATATGCCATCACATCAGGGGGCTTCAAGGCCCAGCAGACAATGAACCCTGGCTGGGCAAAATGTGGATGCTGTCACTGAAGAGTTGTCTCAAGCCACACTCATTTTGATCCAATCCTCCATGAACAGCTCCTTCTGAATGCAATGTTGCCATTATTTTGACTGACAGAAATGCTCTACAAGCAACAGGTTCTTTGGGTAAATGTAATACCCAAAGAACCTGTTGCTGGAAAAAGAAATCACTTTTTCCTCGGACCACTTCTTCCACCATTGCGGACCATTGTCACGGGTATGTGTGTTTCTATCCTCTTTTTCTCTCAGCATCGCGAAACCCCCCCCCCTCCCCTTCCCCACTCCCCTCTCCCCTTAACCCCGGGCTTAGTTGGCTAACTCTGTATCGCATGTAACCTAGTTGCGCTCCCAACCTCACCCCCATCCTTCTATTGTTAGTCCCTCGCCCGGGCAAACTGTATTTCCCTATCGGCTTTGTCATCTTTTTTTTGGATTTACAATCCTTAACATCTACTAATAAAAGTCAATCTTTTATTAGACCAACTCAAATAGTTGGAAAAATTCTTCTCAGTAAGCTTTCAGGTATAAATACCCTTCATCAGGCTGAGGAAGCATCTGCAGCTGGGGTGTGCTCTTCCAGCTACAAGCAACAGGAACCTCAAAGCTTGTCTGCACTGGGGCTTGTCTACTCGTATAGCTACATCAGTAGCTGACCCCACTCCAAGATGGGACCCACAGGTGTAAAGAAGTGGTACAGCTGTCATACCTCGCTGCACTGATGCAAGCCACTTTGTACACCAATGCATCTACCCAAGGAGTTTGCTTCAGTGTAGCTATACTTTCTCCCTCCCCAAAACATGAATTGTCTGTCGCTTTCAAGAGCAAAATATTGCCAGATGTATTGAAAGATATTATCAACATACAGATGAGGATGGTAATTTGTACTCCCTTCTAAAATGGCATAAATTGAAAGTTTATAGAAATCATACAGTGACTGACAGACTCAATCTGGTAACTACTGATGTTATTGTACAATTAACTCCTAGTGCCAAACAGCCAAATTCCACGTAACGGCTTTAAGAAAAAGCCTAATCTTTTAGAACTGTGCATGGAATATTTAAAAAGGCAGCTGAAATTGCAAGACTATTGGACAATGCAAAACTAAACCAGCTCAAGCTATGCCATGCAGCAATATTTCACTTCCTGGCCCTGGGAAGGACTATGTGTTTCTTACTATCACACACAGCATTGGATGCAGGGTCAGTTCTTTTGGTGAGCCATGATCAACGTGGCTTTGAGTGAAGGAGTGGATCAACTTGAATGCATTAATCAGTATTCATATATACATTTAAGATGCACATTCTTTAGACGCAGAATAAGGACCCACTCTAGTTCCTACCGAAGTAACCTAGAAATGTGATTTTCAATGTAAACTGTGTGGTTCTACAAGACGAACAGGATGAAACTATGCACTTTGTCAGTTATACATGTAGCATTAGCCCCATCATCACACATGCTTGTTGACCAATTTTTCAAGAAGTCACAGAACTGGCATAACTGTGTATGCCCACAGCAAGACTCTTTAAAGAACTTATTTGCTTTTTATAAAGTTACTATAGTAACATACCATATACTGTCAGTATGAACAAAACAGGCTACTCATTCTGGCGCCACACTTTCAATACTCGGCACTGATAGTTCTGTGTTTTCATATATGCATGCAAAATAAAAATAATTTGGAGATTCTCGTTTTCAAAAATCTGGGAAACTGCCTAAGCCAAAGTCCTTGAGGAAGAAGACTGACCATAAAGATAAGGGGGCAGGGGAGAGCAGGACGACAGCCATGTAGAAAAAGCTATCAGATCACTAAACCAGCCCCTGAAAGCATAGGGTATAGTCCTAGAGACAGGATATATCAGGGGTGGGCAAAATGTGGCCTGCGGGCTGCATGTGGCCCTCTAGGCCATTCTATCCAGCCCGCGGGGCCCCTAAGAAATTTATAAAATTTATATTTATCTGCCCTTGGCTGCCTGTAATGCGGACCTTGATGGCTTGCCTAAACTCAGTAAGCAGCCCTCCACCCAAAATAATTGCCCGCCCCTGGGATATACCAACTGACCTTATTTCTAGGAAAAGTCCCACTACTTAGCAACATACAAACACACCAGAAAAATCACACGAGGAAAAAATCGCTGCAGTCTGAGGTCTGTGCACAGTTTGTCTACATACAAACAAGCTGCATAAATATCAACTGCACAATTGACTTTGCAATGCTTATTTTTCCAATATACTTGGACAAGAGCCAGCTTTGCTCTCAATCCAACTGCTCTGCCTACTATATGTCCAACATTGTGTTCAAAACAAAGAACATTTATCAGTGGTCTTGTACAAAAAACCCTAATCAGCTTCCTAGGTCAGCTTGTTTGGGCAGCTGGAACCTACTAGCAAATGCAGAGCTCTGACAACACTGTAAACTGAAAAGATGACAAGATCCAAGTAAAGGAAGAGTTGCATTCCCATTACTTTCACATGGAAAACACCAAAATTAAAGATGGAATGCAGCATCTAATCTTTCTCTATGCAAGCAAAGGCTTGCTTGCTCTGTAATGTTTCCCCAATGCAGTTTTACTTATTAATGCTGCTACTGCCGGGAGACTAGATCAAAGTCGAATAGATCTCATCATTAGGAAAAAGGCAATTTCCCTAGCATTCCTACAATGGTGCAGGGGGTTGGACCAGATAACCCTGAGATCCCTTCTAACCTTATGATTTCAATGATTTGATACCTGTCCCCCTAATTCAACTGTCATTAAATGCAAGATTTGTTTGGGTTTGCTCTAAAAGGAAAGGAGGAAAGAGAAATCTGTTTTCAATTAAAAAACTGATAATATAGCTTGTATCAAACGGTTTGGCTTTTTGAATTGCTGCTCATCAATGTTAAAGCTTCATGAATATGCATGAAGGATCTTTCCTCCCATAGTCTTAGAGAAAGAGGACTGGGAGGCATCTAAAGAGGTTATCCAGTCCAACAACTTATACCAAGGCAGGTTAAACACACGAGTATCACAAGAATGTATTTTCATAGTAATACAATTTATTGCTTTTATTACTGCAGTAAAAATTATAGGGAAATAACAGTGCTTAACAGTAAAAGACATTATTATAGGTAAAAATAAATCTGAAAAATCCAAAAGCACTATACTAACTATACGCAACACATGGGGAGCACTTGAACCAGCCCCAGAATGCAGTCATCATTAAGGGCAACCATCACAAATATTTAACAGCACACAGTAAAATTGCAGTTTAAGAGTATAAGTTACTTCCTACCAGAAATCTTGTGGTTAAAAAAAATCCTCTAAGTGGTCAGGGTTTCTATTTTACAATTTATTTAAGACATCTAACAAAACAAGGCCACTGAACACCATGTTCAGATATTTGTTCAATGATATTTCAGACCAAATGAGCATTTATTTTGGTTTCCTCCTATTTTCCAATACCAGTCATGATCTCCCTGAAACGCATCTAAAATTTTTATGAGCAAAGCATTTCTTCATTGCTTATTCTTCCTCTACAATCTTGTAGTCCAACCAAATGAACTACCATAATCAATGACTAGGCCAACCTGACTGAAGTATCTTGAGTTTTATTTCTTTCCAAAATGTCCTGCCAGAAATATCTTAAGCCCTTGAATAATTTTGGCTGATTTAAGTTTCCTCTTTCCAAAGAAGATTAATGTAAAGCACTTTTTGGTTTTGCAAATGAAAAGGGGATACCCCACACCACCCCAATTTTATTTATTTATTTTTTTTTACACACATACACACACCCGCATTAGCATAAACTATTTTAAAAAGTGCATGTGCAAATAACTTCAGGTGTTTATTCAAATTAAGTCATATTCAAAAGACAGACAAGGTTCTTTGGGTGAATCTGATATCTTTTATTAGACCATCTTAAATAGTTGAAAAACATTTTAAGTAAGCTTTCTGGTTTAAAAACCCTTCGTCAGGCCGAGGAAGTTTCTGGAGTTGGTGTGTGTTCTTTCCGGATGGAATGAAAAGTAACAGGAAGAGCACACACCAACTGCAGAAACTTCCTCAGCCTGACAAAGGGTTTTTAAATGCGAAAGCTTGCTTAAGATTTTTTTTCCCAACTATTTAAGTTGGTCTAATGAAAGATATCAGATTCACTCAAAGAACCTTGTCTGCCTATGTCCTTAGACCAACATATTCAAAAAGCATTTTTTAAATATACTTTGAGAGAGGTTGCCCTACCTCGTTATTATGACAATAGGAGTCAAGATATGGAGGCTAAACACTTAGTTTTTCTACATCTTTACATTACAGAATCAATATTAGATCTGATGTTTCAGAAAAAGAAAGTACCATGTAAATTGTTTTTGTGATAATACTGTTTATAGGATGGGCATATTTGTTGTAAAATATATCTATATTATTTATGGTTTCAAACTAATAGAGTGTTATCCATAGGTAAAAATACTGTGTTTTCAAATAAGCAAGTTGTGCACTCAGCACAAGATCTCTGGCTTACCTTGTGAAAGGCACTGATTTGCCAAGGCAACTTGTCCAGAGTGTAGGTACAGATTAAGACATGCAAAGATATTACCCAGAGATGGAATTGTAATGAAGCAGAAGGCAACACAAGCCTAAACACATAAGAAAATATATATTGAAAACATGACTCATCTTTTACATTAGGGCTGCATTTTTATTAACATACAACATTCAAGATGCATTGAGAGCACCTGCCCAAATGTGACCTATCACAAAAACCCATAAAATGGGTTAACTCCTCACTCACCCAACTCCTAATGTTTGTCATTATAAACAAAAAAAGCAAAAATCGTCAACAATAAGATCAGACCAACTTTAAGGCTTAGTGGGCATGTCTGCACGAGATCCTTTACTCAATATTAGAACCAATTACTGCACAGTAGGTGTCACCGTCTACACATGCAGATGCTTACTGCACTGTATTTTGTTCTAATTGCAAGTAAATTTGCTACCTGCAAATGCAAATAGCAAAATTACTCAAAATTACTTACTAGAGGTGCACTGATACATCAGTCCCATACTGGATTGGCACCGATATAAGGAAAATTGACAGTATCAGCAGTTGGCTTTTTTTGGGCTGATGTGGCCAAAAAAAGCCCCGTGGCATGCACAGCTGCAGCACAGCACACAGGCAGCCAGCAGCACAGCCTGAGAGCCTGGAGAGCAGCTGGGTCTGACAGGTAAGTCTGTTGTGAGGGAAGGGTTGGGTTGGGGTACAGATCGAGGCCCCAGAGGTCAGGACGGGAGAGGGGCAGGGGCAGGAGCTACACAGTCAGGGAGGAATGCGGGACTGATCCATGAGCGGCTGGTCCGGGGTGTCGGGGGGTGGGGGGGTGGCTCCCACTGCTATGTGCGCCCTGGGAGGCCAAGGGGGGGGTGTGCCCTGGATCTGTATGCAGGGCGAGGGTGGGCTACCACTGCAGGCTGGGGCCAGGGGTGGTGCCAGGCATTTCCTGGCAGGGAGAGTTGGGCCAGGGTTGCGCTCAGGGCAAGCAGTGGCAGAGCTGCTACAAGGGGGCTACAGTGAATTTTCAGGTAGCTGCATCCCTGCCCCCACAGCCTCCCCTCCCAGTGCCACTGCCGCCCACCCTGAGCGAAGCCCTGGCCCAGAGCCACCGCCAGGAAGATCCTGCCACCACTCCAGCCTGCAGTGGCAGCCCACCCTCGCTCTGTGCGTAGATCAAGTAGCGGCAGGGGCTGGAGCAGGGGCTGCCCCCCCTTCCCCATGCCCCCCAGACAAGACGCTTGTGGCTCCATTACATGCCCCACCCCAGCTGTGCAGTTCCTCCCCCAGCCCTACTCCCTCCCTCACCACTGGGGCCCCGATCTGCACCCCCATGCCCCTTCCCTCCCGCTTTGTCCCTTCCTCCACAACAGACTTACCAGCCAGATGATGCTCTGCAAGCTGCCTGGCTACATGTAGGCTATTGGATTGGTATTGGCCGAGATGGGCCATTAAAAATTGGCCATCAGTATCAGCCCAAAAAATCTCTATCTATGCACCCCTATTACTTACTGTACTGTAGCACATGTGTTGACCCCTGACCGGGAGCAAATATGCTCCTGGTCAGCTTGGCAGCAGGGGGCAGGAGATTGCTCCCTGCCCCTGGGAGCTGCCGGCTGCCAGGACAGACTCCACCACCAGAGCCCAGGTGGTGACTATGTCCCCTTGCCCCAGCAGCAGGGAGCCTGAACCCTGCAGTTGTGGGGCCAGCGCAGGGAGAACCAGTCCAGCAACTGCAGGGCTGGCTCAGGGAAAGAAGAATCTCCCAGCATGGGCCCTGCGATTGTAAGGCTTAGGCTGGGGGAGAAGAATCTCCCAGCCTCATAACCATGGGGCTTGGCCTGGGAAATCAGGATTTTCCAGTCTAGCCCCCACAACTGCAGGGCTTGGTCAGAGCTGGGGCTGAGCGCTCCCTGCTGTTGGGACATGGGGATATTGTCCCTGCCCCGGCAGCGGAGCCTACCCTGACAGCAGGCATTTCTTGGAGGCAAGGAGCAATGTCCTATCCCCTGCTGGTAGACAGCAGTCTCCTGACCCAGGCTGCTGCAGGGACCTGGTGCAGGACTACCGGGAGCAGGAGCAGTCTGCTGCTAAGAGCAGTAAATCTGCTCCCACATCCTTGTACATGTAGACATGTGCCCGGGAGAGTTTACTCTAAAGTAAACTGCTCCCAGATTATTTGAACGCATAGACATGCCCAATGTGTACTTCAAGAGCTTGTATCACAGATCCTCTCAGAGGCAATCCCACTTCCCCAAATATTCAGATGCCATGGCTCACAAGTCAGCAGAACCCATTTAACCCTTCCCAACAATACTTACAGGGTGAGATATTTAAGAGGAGGAAAAAAATAAAGAGCCTGATACGCATGTCATCTGATGCCCTTCCACAAGCATACCTGCATTAAGTGGCTTTTGTGTATACTTCACACTCATTTTATATTTAAGTACCTGCTTAAGTCATATCACTTACAAAACAAGAAACGTTTCTCTTCCTGTAACTATTTTTCCTTCTATAACTGGCTTGGGTATGCAATGACAGTTTGTGGGGTGGAAATTAAGTTTTCTTGAAGAAATGCTTAGAAAACATGTAGACAGTGAAAAAAAAAACCAATAGATTTTGATTGAGGACCAATTCTTGCTGTTCGTACTTGCACAAAACTCTGTATAGGAGTTTTGTCTGAAAGAGGATGGTAGCAATTGGCCTTTGGCAAACAAACATCAGTGTTCATACAGAAACAGTGGGCTGATAGCAATATGGCAAATTATAAACCATAACTATAAGCTGACAGATGACAACATTTGTATAAAGGGGAATGGATTGTTTAGAAACCCATTACATTTTTACACCTACTCTGACAAATGCAGCAGTCTTTCTGGAATGATTCCCTTTCATCACTTTTCTTGTTTCCATTGCCAGCTGGTTCACAGACTATATACATAAAAAGACAAAAAACATGAATTGCTGTCTGCAAATAAACAAGACCGCTTTTATTAATTCCATTAAGTTAAACACACCAATACTAAAAGCAGCCACAGATAATTTTACACTGTTCCATAAAATGTTGATGCATCTTAATTGTAGTAGTTGGCCCAGAGTCTAACCTCCAAGTGAAAGTATTTATCATAGTTACACTTTGATTACATTAGTGCTTTAGTAGTGCTAGTGTAAAAACTAAAAAAATAACTTGTTTATCTTCAACCCAAGACTGCAGTAGACAATTCCTAAGTGAAGTTTGGATAGGGATGATCCTGCCTCAGACAGGGATTGGACTAGATGGCCTCTGGAGGTCCCTTCCAGAGCTACTTCTATATGATTCTAAGTTAGGAAGTTTCAGCCAGAGTCAATAACCATCTTTATTTGAACTCCCCTTTTCACAAGTCAATCTAATTTATTGAAGATTACTTTCCATCATCTTCCTGCACCACCAACAAGAAACCAAAAGACTCATTATGGTTGTTTTATATTACTCTCTTTCTTAATTATGCAAAGTTTTAAATGTAAGGTCTGAAGTTACATTTATATAATTCTGATGATGCATTCAAAGATTAGGAAAAACCAGCAGCACTTGGTATACTATATAGTGAATTGTACATACAGCCTTTTAGCTGTCCTCATTTCCTTTTCTTGTTTGCTGTAATAAAGCAAGGCTGGCGGGGAGGGGAAGTCTGTTTTTAATTAAAAAACTAGTCACATGAGTTCAGTTCAGTGCATCTTGACATCATTCTGTCAAAATTAAGTCTGAAGCATAAGTCTGTTTTTTCACATATTGTTATGCTGTTTCTTCTTTACTCTTCTACAACTCCACTAGAAGTCACTGTTTTTTCTTTATTTCTAGTGAATATGCCATTTATATCTTGTTCACAATAATTATTACATACATATTAACATGGAAGTAGGCTAAATAAACTTAATTATAAATGTTGTCCTGCAGTCACCATATTTCCACAAGTTTTGTGTACAATATAGGGCTGGCAACAGCCAAGTCCCTAATTGAATTTATTTTATTTATAAAGTTTCAACCTCTCATACCTGCCAGGCATGCTTATGAAAAACTTTCATGTTGTTAAAGCCCTTCTGCTTACAATACAAAAAAAGCTTGATCAAATAGAGTTTTGCACTATTTCCCCAAATAGTTAGATTCTGCGTTCTGTCTCGTCTGTTCTGGGTGTCTGTTCTACACGTGGGTCCTTTCACCTGAGAGTCGCACGTGCCTTCTATGATCATCAACCCTTCCAGTTCCTGAATGCACAGAAAAACCTTATCATAAGCTTTATTCTATTGACCCAGAAATCTCCCTGTTTTAAGAACATAAAAAAATTATGTTCCTTAACCCACTGGTACTATTGGAACAAATTCCAACAGAATTTAACAGAGTGGGGGGGAAGAACAAATGTATACTTCTGAATACCTAATGTTGAGGCCTTAACAAGTCTTCCAAAGCTACAGCAGTCTTTGAAAGCTAATGCAAAAAACAAAACAAGAAAGAAAAACAAAAAAACAACCCCACACAC